TCCCCCGCCAGCATTACTCCGTTCGTCAGAGAAGTTTGAGTCCTTTAGAGTCATGATAAAGAGCACCACTTTTGTCTTTTTCCCATGTAAATTTGACAAGCCGTTATGTTGCAAGAGCTCAAAGAGCTCAAAAAAGCTGATTTTTTGACACTTTTTCTCCCATTGCTTATGAACGGATTGCTCTCTCCCCTAGATATTTGGATATATCATAGACCGTGTGTGTTCCTAGGTGTAGACAATTTCTCCGAGAGTGGTTGAATGGGAGGGGCAAGAGATATGTGGACCGTTCCGTTACGTGGTAGCGTTCCATTACGTGGTAGATGACTGTAGGGGTGTTCTCCAAGCCGAAGGGCCCGTTTTGAATACTATCGAAATAGATTAACGCGATTAACAAACGAAAAGGACAGACACGAGCCAGGGACACAGCCAAAGGTATGTCCCCATGATCGCAAATGGATTAACTTACCCAAACCAACTTGCACAAGTCTGTGCGGCAGCTCTCCTATCGTGAATGAAGACATATAAATGTCAGAACATGTCGAACACGCAAGAGAGCCAGAAAAACGAAAGGTGGGTGAATGAAAGAGGAGTGCCACCACGTACCATCCCCAAGAGTTTTCCTCGTGAACCTGGAAACGGATGGTAATGGTGGTGGTGGCTTGATTGTAGTTGATATTGTCTTCGGAGACTTCACAAAGTGGAGGTGGAAGACGATATGGTGGGTGCTGTGGTGGGGGTACCTCTGTAGCTCGAGGATTGAATCGAGTGTTGTTAAACTCCATTTCTTCCGAAGTTTTGGTGTAATGGGACTGATGAAAAATGCTCTAGGTGGTGTAATCCCAGAAAGGATGGGTAAATCGAGTTATGAAAAGATGCAGAACGCGATTTTTGCGCTGAGTTGGGAGGGTGTGGTTGAGGAAGATCTCGAGTGTGGTCACGCTTGTCACGCACTACCGTGGGGCAATGGTGAAAATTCGCTTTGTGTTTCCTTTCATCACTTTTTCTGGTATCTGATAAGCTACAGCATTTGTTGGATTTCTTCTGATGTTTTATGTATGTTGAATTGTTGCGCCGCCACGGTTTCATGGCCATTTACGAGTTCGAAAGTTGGAATTTGTCATTCACTAGGGCTCACTTCCCTGTCCAGTTGTTTCAGCTCCCTTTGGACCTCTAACGAGCTCTAACTTCGGTAGACTGGACCGATTGGTAGTCAGGAAACGTTCGACATTGGGGCCAAGATGGCTGAATACCAATTGACTCGGCCCGAGCCCGGCCGACTTAGATCTCGGTTCCTTTACCCAACGCCTGCTCTTACTTTGACTCTCTGACTCGACTTCATCACAATCGAGGAGTTGCTCGCTATTGAGGACCTTATATTCAGCCACTCAAACTGCACCTTGACGTTCTAGCTTCCGGGATTTGTGTTTTCATCCTATGGAGCCTCATTTCCCACCAGAAATCGAGTTGGAAATCTTTTTGGTGGCATATCATACCAGCTCTAGCGCTGACAAGTTGACGTTCTTGCAAGTCTCAAAACGTGTGTCCGCTTGGTGAGCGCTCTGCAAGTCCAAAATATCTTCGCCGTCCGTGTTGTTGATTGACGTGTTGCGCTGACGTTCACCTCAGGCTCGTCCCGCTCTTATATAGAGTGGTCAGTATAAAGGACAGTGCTAGTAGATATCCACCCGTTCAAAGCTTGGAGAAATATGGGACTCACGTCCGATACATCTTCATCCGTCCATCTGGAATACAGATGCAGGACCCTCTGTTATCTCATTGTCCCTACGTCCGCGATCTATCATTCTGGTTTACACTCGGTACCATCAACCCCAAGATATTTGACCTCCCTTTATCGCGGCTCTCCATTCAGTATCTCGGCCGCTTCGAACATCAGTTAAAACCTATCATCCAAGACGTCGACCAAGATACGCCTCGGGTCAGGCAATGGCGTTTGAGGATAACACACCTCAGCATGGGATCGTTCGATCCTGATATGGGTCAACTCTTATCCCTCTTTCCCAATCTTACACATCTACTCTTCGGTGCATGGAACCACCCAAGGATCGTTCAGGAAGCCCTGAAACTTTGTCCAAGGTTGGAAGTGATGGTTTGGCTCTTAGGTTCTTATCGATCCAGAACGGAAACGTTAGTGGAGGAGGATCCTCAACTAGCACCCCATTTCGATGACATCAGGGTGGTTACGATAAGTGGATACCTTGCGTTAGATTGGCTCAGAGGTACAGAAGGGCTGGATGATATGTGGGTGATTGCAGAGAGAAAGATCCAGGAACGGAGGGCGTTGAGGAGCCCGGGTAGGATATAGATTATCCGCGAATATTTTGACAACTACTTTGGAATATCATGTCCGATGTTCTCACTGCAAGTGGTCCTCTGTATGATGGAGGGACGCCGGACAGGACAATAAATTTAAATAATCCATGATTCATTGAAGAGGCTGATGAACGTTTCGAGGAGATGGATCGTGTTCAAGGTATGTGATAGATGCACTACAATATCACCTCGATGCAGCTTCAGATTGTATATTGCCCGGTGTGATCACTGGCCATACACGGCCCACTCGAAGCAGATCTCGGATTGCCTCCTTGACCAGACTTAGAATGGGGTGAGATTCTTGCGGCGATTCTCATCACCCTCAACGTTCAACGTTCAACATGGACCACGATCGACAGAGTCCTCGACCTCCTGAGCTGGAGCACAATATTTTTGCATTATTTCTTTCTCTCCATTCGGACGAGAGCATCAACCCGGAAAATCTTCTATTATTTGCCGAGCGAGTGGCTGGTACCCTTTGAAGTGCCGACTGTATGGGACAGCTAGCTAACATTTATTCCGCTTTCTAGGTTGATCCCACTCTACTATGAAGTGGTGATTCCCCATTTAAGCGATCCATGGCCACCCAATGCCACGAAAGAAAGGATCGAAGAAGACGGTCCATGTCCGCCATTTCCATACATCCTCCCCCGCAGCTTCTTTCCGTTTGCCCAGACATCTCTAATCTTGAGATCTGGTCACCCATCTCAGGACACCGAGAACGTTGGGCACGAAATGGATGACGCAAATTTCAATGCTCAGATCGTGAGGCGGACTTGCGGTCGGCCCTTGATGAAATGACGCGTCTCACCCAAACACGGCAAGTGGCTGTGCATTCGCCAAGCCTGTTGCTCTTCGGTATTTTTCTTCTTCGCAACAACTCGCCATCCCCCGTTGCCAGAAGCGCTAAACGGCCTTTCTCGCCGTTCAATAGGGCGTATGCTTGACAACGCAATATCCACCATGTCGCATCATGCAAAGCCGAAGATCACCAGAGACCACCTCACACAAAACTACCACGGCGTCGACGTCGGGAGTGAACAGGAATAGTTGGGCTATCTACCGGGGTGAGTGACGTTTTTTGGACCACCATGCGAGCTCGAGTTTTCTTGTGGGTTCCATGTTCGCATTTCGGGTTGGATTGGGTTATTCCCGAGTAAGCTGCCTGGATGCGTGCGAGAGGTTGAGAGCATAATTGGATCGCGCGCAGTATGCATGGGGACCTCGTGTACACGGCCTTGTTTCCTCTCCTTCGCTTCACCTCGTTTTATCTTTCCCCTTTGCCCGCTGGGCACCCTTCATTCTCATTCTCCGTTCTTTGTGAACATTTTTCGTCTGCGCGTTTCTTGCTCTGCCTCTCCATTCTCCAACGCCGTTGTCGTTCGTTTCCTTTCTTTGATTGATGTATGCAAGGGCAGGGTATTGACTTTGTATATTAGGTTTGCGTTCCAAGCATTGAGTGCTCATTGCCCCCCTCCAACACCTACTACCGCCTCTCAAGAACTTATCTATTCCTCGGAGCTCCATCGTAACCAATGGCTGTCGCAGTTGCTTCCTATATCCCACTCATTCGCATTGGGCTATACGTCGCCCTCGTATGTCCTTTGTTTTTACATTGTATGACGTGGTAGAGCTAACCTGTTGGAACGATAACCCTAGGCCCTATTTTCATTCATCACCTTTGCATTATGCGCAGCAAGATTGCACTATACATTGCACATACCTATCGGAGATCCGTTGAACGGTGGTGTTGATTTCTATGGTGCGCTTTGAGTGACGGCCGCATTTCGACTGGAAGCTGATTATATCCGCGCTTTCATTCATTTTAGACCCTGTGGTGGCGGAGTTGTTGTTTACAACATTGATCACGATGCCTTTTTGTCTATACGCGTACGTCTGCCGTTCTATGCGCCCGTTGGTCCGCATATACTCACATCTCCCCCCTTTCTCGTTTCGATCTGGGTTTCTGTCGCTAGTGCATTCTCGATCCATAGTCGTTACGAGAACAAGTATGTCGGAACCTTCGCGGCCGAAATTGCGCTCCTAGTCGTCCTCTGGTTGTTCTGGATTGGCGGTGCTGCTGTCGCTACGGTGCGTCTCCCACTTGACCTTCTTTCATCTCCTCTCACACGTTAGGATCACAGGAATTCTGGGGTGATCTTTCGTTCTGCCAACAATTCCAGCCTTGTCGAATCCTTACAGCGATGGTAGCATTTACCTGGCTGTCTTGGGTGGTTTTGACGGGGATTATCATGTTGAGTTTGATGTTTAGTTTGGCGAATAGGGCGTGGATGGAGCCGTTGCATGGAAGGTGGGATCCTCGAGCAAGTCATTATCATGCGTGATCGTGTTTTGTTGATTCGAAAGATCTTTTCGATGAGCAGTGTGTAGACATCCGAGATGTTCGCGTGTAAGGGTGGACGGGTGGGGGCTGGGCTGTATTCTGGCAGATTATGCCGAAGTTTTGAACCTTTCATTAGAGTCTCGTGCTACATCTGTAGGGCTTGCTTCATGGTGTCGGTGTTGTTATCTTTTGTTCCTTGCTTTTATGTTATGCGTACCCTACGTTTGCGTACAATTGTCCTGTACTTCTTGTATTCTTCTGATCAAGCTTATTTGACCCTCGCAATGAAGTACTGTATATCGTCTAAATCTACGGATTTAAGATCGGGAGGATAGCATAATGGAAATGCGCCTGAGACACGAGGGTCAACAACGCCCAGTCGTTTCAGGAGATCCGTGTTCGAATCTGGGCTCTCCCTTACAATGTTGTTTTCTTTTTATGCTGTTACAGTGGCTCTCAAACTGGCTATCGTCGTGGGGCCTTCGGACTTTAGCGCGAATGTACGGTGGTTCCTATACCCATGCACCTTGGAGCAGGGCACGACGTTGGCGATGGAGGAGAACCAGCGGGAAGATTCTTTTTTTGCCTTTGTTTCACCTTGACGTGAAGAGAGATGATGTCAATAAGGGAAAGTAGCATAAGTGGTTAATGCGTCTCGCGCAATCTTAGTTTGTATATCCGACAGTTCAATTGTATAGCGAGAAGTTCTCAGTTCGAATCTGAGCTTTCCCGTATCTGGAGGTTATGACAGTTTTTGAGGTCCATCCAGCACTTGGGAAGTGTAGGTATGTAATACTACGTACGGTATGAATCCATGCTCAGCGCTCAGGACTCAGGGTTTTCGACTTTTATTTTATCAAGGCTGCGCGGCGTAAGCGCTTGAGCCATGGATCTGGTTGTGAACGCGTGAGCGATGATATCAACACTTGTTGAGGCAAATCACCTTCCAAAATTGCTTCCGGATGCAGTCTATGAAGAGAAGTTGTGGGTACGAATGATGAGGCCCATATACAGTATGCACGTCGAGAGTGCATAGTCGAAGGGCATCTGAGTCCTTCATGGTCGTTTGCAAGAACTTAAAGGAGGGAAAGTAGCATAATTGGTTAATGCGTCTCGCGCAATATCTTTCAAGGGATGGTTGAGCAGCAAGAAGTACTCGATTCGATTCTGGGCTTTCCCATTCTCCTCGGAAAAAGCTGCAATTTTTATGATCTTATTTCGTACACGCCGACGGCCTTGCATGCGCTCCAGAGTACGTACGTGTTAGATAATAACCTCTTGTGATTCGACACCATATATGCTGAGACCCTTCTACATCGACTGTGAGCTTCGTTGAATGCTAGGGCGAGACGAGAACACCCTTACCTTCCGTGGACAAGCCGCAGTGATCCGGTTACAGCCCCAAATCTTGAGCTCCGTCAATTTGGGACAACCAGTCCAACCTTCGTGGTCGGGGTTGCCGTCCAACCAGGCCTTGACAACAAAGTTGTCAACCTGACGACACCATCCAACATCGAGCTTTCTCAACTCCCTTCCATAAGCTGCAATTTCATTCAAAGCATCTTCGCTAACCTCCTTCCAACTGTTAATATTCAAAATCTCCAACATCTTCCCCGAATGTTTTAGTAAGCTCGGAAGAGCCTTGGACCCCAATTCGTGATTCCTCGATAAGTCGATTTCGACTAATGGAGGGTTCGCCCAGTCTGTGAAGAAAGATTCAACGCCGTCATCCGTCAGCTCGGGAATATGGTTGAGGGATAACCGCTCCAGCTGGGAGACGTGACGCCCCAAACCATCTTCGAGGAAGGTGTCGGTAAGGAGGTTGTGCTTGGATAGGTTCAGCACTCTCAACTCCCTCCCGATGGCGCCCATCAACTCGATCATAGCCTCATCGGAGCACGAAGCACTAGGTTCAGAAAGATCCAGCATTCTGAGTTTCTGCCACTCGCCGAGCTTGGCTAGCTCGTTGAGACATGCGTCATCCAGCTTTCCAACTTGTTTTAATCGCAGCTCCGTTAGTGACGCCCCACAGTGCCTAACAAGAGCTTTGATACAGGCGAGGTCGAAGCGAGGGCTTTGCGTGATTTGGAAGCATTCCAGGGAGGGGTGTGTGGAGAAGAATCGTTGCCAGTTTTCGGTGTGAACCAAGAAAGGACCAAGGAGGATTAGATGTGTTAGATGAGGAAGAGAGTCGGTGAAGGTATCAAAGGCCGCGTTGTTGAGTTGGCCACAGTAATCAAGATGGAGGTGTGTTAGATTTGGGTTCAAGCGGGCGAGAGTAGATAGAGCAGCAGGCGCGAGGTCTATCTTGATTTCAGGACGACGTCGCAGGGTCATGGTGAAAAGACGAACCTGTAGTATCGTGGAAGGTCAAGGACGTATTAGAAACGTGGTAGAAAAGAGTTGCGTGTTCGGAAGTTCTGTGACGCCGTTGGTTTAATGATTAGAGGCGAGGATGAGAGTTTCTTACAATTTGCGATTCCTTGACAAGGCTTTGGATATAGCTTGCGCATTGAGTGTACCAATATCGCCAAGAGCTTCGACGTCGTCTATATGTTTCGTGATAAGCTATAGAATCGTCAGTAGAGTGGATAGTTGGGAGCGAAATGGGGCTGACATCAATGCACATGGAAGCGAGTGTAGGGAACTTCCGTTCTTCAAAAGAGACTACAGCCCTCTTTTCTGTGGGACGCTTCTTGCGAGGCGCGGCAGGTTTTTTAAATGGGTCCGTGCCGCTCGCCTTTGCACATGGGTGACAAAGGAAACCTGGTCCAGGATTGGCTACCATCGTATATTTAGTCTAGACAACATGTCAATATGCATACGCTACACGTTTAGAAGTCAGGCAACGGACGTACCACAGTAAACTGCTTTTCGCATTTTGCACAATTTTCAAAGCTTCCAACAGGAGGTTTAGACGAGCCAGAACCACTCCAAAGGGATTTCGAAAGGGCGTGGTAGACGTCCTCCTCTTCACCGTCCTCGTCCTCGTCATCTCCTTTTTTAACTTTCTTCTTCGCCTTTGCCTTTTCTTTCTCCTTCGCTTTCTGTTGAGCTACTGCAGGTTTCGACCCTTTGCGTTTATTCCCAGTTTTTTCGGGCTCTTCGTCGCCCTCGGACGCATCCAACTCATCAGAGTTGTAGCCAGAAGCCTTGGCGCATAGTTAGTGTCCATTCGTCAAAGACGTATGCCACGTACCCTTCTCCTGGTAGCATTAGTGCGGGTGGCACTGGGTTCCTCCCCTGCCTCACCGTCCTCAGCTTCATCACCGGCTTCTCTCGAGTTAGACGGCCCAGCGTCTGGTGCATCCCCATCCCCATTCTGCTCGTTCTGGCCTCTGTTGAGATTGGATCCCCGGCGGTTGATATGTCTCGCACGAATGCCAGAAGCCTATATAATGTCCTCTCAGAACAATGGGCGAAACCTCCCCCATCCAGGAATGACTCACCTTCAGATACTCAGTTAGCGCTGAGGTTGGTCCCCGTACATTATTCCGCCGCATTCTGAGGTGAGTTTTGACGAAGCCCTGGCTTCCTCAATCGACTGTACAGTTTTTTCTGGTGGGTGGGCCTCCGTTTGATAGGCCTTTAGATGGGGAGGTCAATGGTCGGTGGGAGAGAAAAAAAGGAACCGAGACGCGGCATTTCGCGTGACGCGTGACCAATTGGCGCGATCCGATACCCGATCAGGCTTCCGCGAGCACTCAGCGAGTTCACATCCCCACATCCAATGATCCATGATCCACCACAGGTCCACAACGAAGTTGAGAGAAGGTCGTATTTTAACCCATTTGAGAGAAGCAGAACAAGGGAAAGTAGCATAATGGCTAATGCACCTCGCGCAATGTCACAAAATGGATTATGACGCTGCGAGAAGTACTCAGTTCGATTCTGAGCTTTCCCGTTCCTAGTTCCGCTATTTCTTTTTGCTTTAGTGACTTGAATTTCACAATGGGAACTTCCTACGTTGGTTTCGGTTATGCCACCCGACCCAGACTTGATCTAGAGTGGGTTCCAATATCGCTGATTCATGCTTTGAGGGCTGACTCGGCATACTATGGATTGGGACTTCCAAGAGGATATCTTTGGTACCTGCTCCATCAACGAATAAGCAGCTGAAGCCTGACAGTGATAAGGTTGTGATAGGCGACGCTGATAGTAATATTAGGCGCGTCATCTGGACCGCGTTCGATTGCAGGAGAAGGCCCCCGGACGCGCGGATATTCCCTTATCAGACTCATAGAGTATACGCACCTGACCGCTACTTTCTCTTCTCCACAAGGCCAGGGTTATGGATTTGCCAGAAGTATAAAAGAAGGATGCCTCGAGGTGCGCGATGACCGTATCACATCTTCTGTTCCGATCACTCGCAACCTCCTTTGAAGTTCAAATGAACTTGAGTTTGTGCGGCTGTGACGAACGCGGTTCGGCTTGCCCTAGATGCCTGAACGATAATGCTAACTTCACTTCGTGTCGTGCGTTTTGTTTTATGGCAAAACGACTCGAGAGTCGGGACTGTGTCAATCCTACTCTACGACCGATACCGGTCATGAGCTCAGTTAGTGACTGTAATTCTTTTAAATTCATCCAGCACTTAGACGTCTTCCGTACTACTACAGTATTATACGATGTAACAGCTAGTCACATAGAGTATTTTTAGAGGGAATTGCGGCGATGTGATGGGCTAGCCACTGAGAATGAGAGAGGAATGGGCACAGTGCTTCCCAGTCCACTGCGGGTCTCGCCCTATAATAACAGTGAGTTAGTCAAATGGGAAAGAGGTGATAGAACTTACCGATTCAATGGAGCCGGCTCTAGCTCGTCCCAACATCGCAGGTGAAAACTGGGATTCTACCAAGATAGGGTCTTGATTCTGAAATTTCTCTCGAATGGTCTCTCGAGCATTCAAACTACACTTATAGTTAACCTCCGACTCCTCATTTCAAGAGATGAACTTGGACTTACCTCGCTAAATATGAATTGAGGTGAACTATGTTTGATGTCAGAATTCGTCACAGAATAGCTTGAAGTACACAATAAACTAACGTTTTCCCAAGATGAGATAGGGGACTGGCATATTCATCAATGATCAAAGGTCATATTAGAAACGAGGTAGTGTAAACTTACTAAAATGGAGCAAATTTGGACGTATTGCCACAAAGATCGCGATGTGAATTGAACCACTAAGACTGCCAGTTCTCGTTAAACTTAGTTCGACGCTGATGAATTCCAACTTACGCAACAATGGCCCCAGTATTTACGGTGTACATCATGAGCACACGAATTAGTGAATCCGTTCTGAAACTCATATCAATATCTCTCGCCATAACAACTTTGGAGACCTCACCTCCGAAAGCCGGTCCTTGACCTATGCAGGAGGTAGCACAACGAGATGGCAATGCTTAAGTCAGCCACTGTAGAACCTATGAAGATCATGGATCCAGCGCTCGAAGTCCAGAGCTAGGATAAGATTGGAGAAGCTCAGGATGTGTTCCTGATAGCTCACGAACCTTCCCAAAAAAGTGGGTTATGAAGCTAACATTACGTCTTGAAAGACAGTTCGAGATGGGTGGGAGGTTAAGCAACCTACCCGTCGGTTGTGCTGACTATCCAGGCTGTCAGTGACGGCGTCGATCGAGCGAACAGCAGTACGTGACGTACAAATTGTAATGCCTGATATAAGTAAGGATTTCCGGATGAGCATCCTGAGCATGGAAAGGAAACGAGCCAGCCAGCCTACCCATTGGGATTAATGAGAATGATATCTGGAGGCAGCATGTTAGGCAGGCCTGTAGGGAAGACCAGAGATGATCACACACTATCCAGATGATCAAGATAAGATTCTTTTTGCTGACTGGAATACCCGCTCAGCAAACTTGTGGAGACGCCAGAGAACTGAGCTCGAGCTCAATCTTACACTTGTACACACGAATTGTGAACATCCTAACGATGCGTAGGTACGTTAACAAATCCCCACTGATACTTAGTCCACGAAAGTACTCACATTCGAATGATGAATTCCGATAGAAACTGTCATAAATTATGATACATTCTAGTTGGTCCCCCTGTAAACAGACAAGTACTCACCGAGACCGAGGAACGAACCTATGGATGAGGAGCAAATGCAGATGACGGGTCAGTAGCTTGGCGCTGGCATCAACAGGCAGCTTTGCCTTACATTGCAACTCCTGTAAGATGAAGGGGTCACGGAAAAAGTTGTTTGTCAGAATTACCGGCAGGGATTGACTCAACCATCGGAGACGGCATACCAATTTGGGACCAATGATATGAGAGGATTGGCGGAATGAGTTACCATATAGTAATATGAAAAATGAGCGACGAGAGCTGAATCAAGGATGTCCAAAGCACTGGGAGGGCATCCGAAAGTCAGATGAGCTATATGGGTAATCGCCGGCAAGACGTACAAGAGCAACGCAACCTGAAGCCATTGAATCAGTTTCGAAGACACACAAAGGGAATTGATCTTGATCAACGACCGACGTACTATTGCCTTGTATATTGGTCTATCGCGAGATTTTTGAGAAAAGTATATGTAAGTTTGGATGCAGGTAACACCCCAGAGACTATAATTCGTAGTGAGAAGAATAATCAAACCAAGACTTGAAGCTTGAAGATCCACGAACGTAGTTGATAGCAGTGCACTCACGAGCAAAGCTCCGAAAGTGGTATCTAGGTTTACGTTCCCGACAGGGAACGAGGACATGTCGGGCCGACCTGAAGGGGAGCGCCGGTTTATGAATTGGGGGTGGTACAGAACGAAAGGAAGCCAAGGTCATTTGTGCGTGGTTAAATACTTGGGGATTGGATTGCACCTTAAGGGCACGGCGGCCAATCGACGTCGACGATGGCCGTTTAATGTTCACAAGAGGTCCTGAATTTACTATCATGCGTCATCAGAGATTTCTGTGTTTCAGCGGAGACAATATATGAAAAAAAGATACAAGATCGAACGTCAAGGAGAGGAGGTTCCGTCGGGCACGCATCACTTCTTGATCCCGCAGCGCTGCCGAGTTCGATTGATAATCTATTGTCCATGGTCTGAGGGTACTGGTGGAGCGCCGGGTCAATAACGAGATTGGGTCATCAGAAGTGGCAGTGAGGCTCGACCGCGAATGAAGGAAGCTCGTTACCTATATGTCAAGGGAATTGGACCGGAACTAATGTTCATCCCCTTGATTCTCCACACAAGCCCCGTCAAAGTTGACGGCGCCCATTGGGACTCTCCATTGTGAAATCTTCCAATAGCGATGATTCCAGTCGTCCTTTGACTGTTGGTTAACGTTGATTCTGCATAGATTGAGACTTGCAAGATTGGGCATGGTACCCAGCGGATAAGGTTCTGATAGGCGACCCTGATACTGCCGTGTGTGAAAACTTTGTTGGCACGTTAAATTTGGCAATGGTCCCAGCTTCATTCATTGCTGGATCTTGGCTGGATCTTCTCAAACCCACAATGAACCTCTGAAAAATCTACGAAATTCAGGGATATTGTCTCTCCTGGCCTTATACGTATTCTCGAAATTTCTACTTGATTAGTTCACGCTCACGTCGTTGAATAGCCTCACGAAAAAATTGACCCGAAGTCATGACGTCGCTGCCATCGCGATGTCCAGGGTCAGTTGACACATCCGAGGCATATCGTGGGGACCATTTTCAGAGGTGAGTCAAAACGGATCGCAGCTCTCATCATCATCCCCGATTCCAAGTCGAACCATCGGAATCCAACTTGCAGGATGGCTCTGTGCGACGGTGATTCGCTTTTCGACCTGACGGAGTATTGTATCCGAGAACTGTGGGTGACCGCTCTTCCTGTGGCTCTCGTGGCCGCAATATGCCTTTCGTCCGTCTTGGGACACATTCTCCCAAAGCCGAAGCTATTTGGATGGCTTGATAACCCTTTGAAGACGCATTTGACTGTGGAAGAGGCGGAAGCGTTACATTTGGACTCGGATTCAGAAGTTCCTGGTCGGGATGAAGCGGAGGTCGAAGGTGGGGACAGAAAGGCAGGAACATCGAGGTGGACGACACTTTTGTTCGTTGGTGTTGGGTCTATCCAGTTCTTGATATGGACTTCCATGACTCTCCACCGCTTCCTCAACATTTCACTTCCTGCACCTGCAACCAGGGGTATTGCGTTCAACGCGGCGATGGCTCTGGCTTGGGGATACACCGCAATGAGGCCAATCTCAAGAACTACGATTACAGCACCCCTCGACTTGTTGACTTTCTACCTCCTATTTGCGATTGGAGGAGTCGTGAAAGTGGGGGAATTGTTGTATGCGAAGTCGTTAGGGTGGGAGTGGGAGACGTGGAATGCCGACATGGTGTTTGAGCTGGCGAACCTTGGTGTTGTCATGGTGCTGTTGTGGATCATTCTAGGTATGCCTTTGGAGGTACCGAGTTCGAGAGTCGATGAAAAAAGGATTGTGAGTACCTCTTCCTCAATTTGAGGTTAAAACTTGACTCGACCCTGGTCGGTGAACAGGGGGAAGATATCTCGCCCGAGGATTATACCACCCTCTCCGAATGGATTACATTCAGCTGGGTTTATCCTCTTATCAAAAAGGTATCGTTCTCTCCTAAGTCCTAA